AACACTCAAGAATGAATACAATTGAGCACAATAAGTTTTCTTGAAAGCAAAATGAATATTGGATGAAAAATAGGCTTGAATTGCTCAAACAATGAGTTTGATGCTTTCTCTTTGATTCTCTCTTGATTCTAGTTGCTTGATGTTTCTTGTTTTTTATCAAATGGCTTCTAAGCTTGTTTAAATACACCTTTGAATCACTTCTGAACGTTGGGGATGATTAGAGGAGTCAATAGAGCCATTTAAGTGTGAAAATAATTAATTAATACAGTTGGGAGCGTCAGTGCATCGATGCATACACATGGTGCATCGGTGCATCAGTGTAAAATTCAAATATTTTAACCGTTGGAACCTTAGTGCATCGGTGCACTAAGAGTGCATCGATGCATCAAGTGCATTCGATGTTTCAAAATAGCCCAAGTGCATCGATACATGGCTGGTGCATCGATGCATCAAATGCATTCGATGTTCTTATAAAATCCTCAGTGCATCGGTGCATGGTGTGCATCGATGCACGGAATGCATTTGATGTTCAATTTAATTCATGGTGCATCGATGCATGGATTGGTGAATCGGTGCATCACTCTGAAAAATTGATTTTAGGCTTGATTTTGGTTCAAAATACTTTGTGAAAATTGTTTCAAAAATAGTTTAAGTACAAATCACAATTTTACACATTTAGTAAGGATTAAAATTATTTTTGAAAGACTTGGAGTAATAGTTTGACATTCGATTAATTTGAATCGAATATACTTAGAAAATCATTTGTAAAATCTTAAAATTCATTTAAACTTAATTTGTTATATCGAAATATCAAAATGTTTTCAACAGATTACTATACCAAAAGTATTGTTTACTGTTAATATTAATGTCCAAATACTTGATACTGATGTAGTGTTTGATATATTGAGATAGAAATTAGCCATAATTTTGAATTTATTTGTTTACTTAAGATGTGAGCTTCAATTTTATTTATGTTTTGTTCTGTGTTCAACTAATTATTTATTTATTTCTATCACAATATCTGCTATAATACATTTTCTGTTATGCTTCAGAAAATGAATCTCAAAGAATGAGAAAATGCACTTATATAAAGATTTTTGGTTGTATGAACATAAACTTTGCTCTAAGAAAAGAACAATTTTCACCTCTCATAGGGGATAACATCCTTACTTGGTATAAGAGATTTTGAGAGGTGAATTTTGTTCAAATTACATAAGTTTAATAGTCATGAAGCACAACATTATTGAAGCCTTTAGAAGCACATAATCTGAAAAGATTATTGAGGCTAATTGTTTCCTTGACGATATTGAAAAATATTTTCCAAAAAAACAATAAGGTTTAAATGACATCATTTTTTACCTTTTTGATGTCAATAAAGTACAACGGTAAAAAAATGTGAGGAAGTACATTATGGATATCTTTCATATTACTTCAAGACTTAAGACACTTATGATCAAATTTTTTTGAAGAATTATTTATTCTTTTGCTTTCAGTATCGCTTCCTATAAAGTTTAATCAACTCAAAGGGAAAAATGAACTATAAATGAGTTCAATTCTCATTACGATAAAGTTTGAAAGAACTCGCTTGAAAAGTGCATATAAAGATAAGGGCAAAAATCAAATTAAAATGTAATTGTTAAGGGCCCAACTCAAAAGAGACAACAATATGTTACAAAAGGTTATTCTCTTTTGAGGTAAGTTTGGAAAAATGAGGATAAATTGAATTCTAAAATATTAAGCAACTACTTTGAATATTTTGAGCGATCTAGGGGTTATAAATTTTATGATCTCACAATTAGGAATATTTTTAAGATGAGATCTATAACAATATTTTGAAGATGTTGTAACAATATTTTGAAGATGTTGAGTTTGGAGGGATAAATAAGGTTTGAGAAATTTATTTTAAGGAGAAATTTTATTATAACTCAATTCCTATTATCACTTGTTATGATATCTATGTGTTTACATATCGTTAATCAAGAAGTGAATCTAGAATCTCAATAAGGTTATTTTGAACAACTTTCCATTCAAGATGGAAAATCATTTCAAAATAACATACTCAACAACCTCAAAGAATAAGGACAACAATGAAATAATGACAACAATGGAATAATGGAGGATGATCTAATCAAATTTCTTCATGTCATAAAAGTTCTAACTCTCATAAGTGAACTAATGTCATGGAAGAAGAGTATAAATTCTATACAAGATAATAAATTTTAAGAACTCATCTCATTACCTGAAGGTGCAAAACTAATTGGTTGTAAATGGATTTTTAAAACCAAAATGGATGCAAAAGGTGATGTTGACAGGTATAAGGCGTGTCTTGTATCTAAATGATATACAACGAAGAAGGCATTAATTTGGTAGAGTCTCTTTGGTTTCATTGAAAGACTCTTTCAGGATAATTATGATACTTGTTGCTCATATTTGATTTTTAGTTACATAAGTTGGATTTAAAAATGGTAACATTGATGAGATGTTTTATAAGGTGTAATTAAAAAAATTATGTATGATGATGTAAATTTAATGATATACAAATTAAGGATATTCATTAATAAGTTCAAGTATTACTCCTGTTAATTGTATAACGAATTTCACCAAGTGACTATCTCATTTGGTTTTGAGATGAATTTGGTTGACAATTGTATATATTATAAGTTCAGTGGGAGTAAACTAAATAATACACATTGTTGCTAAAGGAAACAAGTTCAATCTTGATCAGCGCCCTAAAGACGATTTTGAAACTAAGAAAATGCAAAAAGGTTTCTTATTCTTCAAAATAAATAAAGAATTTGTTATATACTCAAGTTTATACGTATTCAAACATAGTGTATGATTTTAGGATTTGAAGTAGGTATTTCAGTAATTTGGGTATGGATCGTTAGATAGCAGCCAAATTGATCCATACAATACATTTAAGAACAAAAAATGTTACATGCTCACATATCGAAGGTCTTGTAAGCAAGAAATCATCAGATTTATGGACTCTAAATTATTGGAATATGGATGCAAATTTTTGTCACTAGAACTACTAAAATTATGGATTGATAAGAAAGGCCACTTAAGTTATTTTGTGGCAACTAAGTTGCAGTCATTTATTCCATATATAAAAGAAATACCTTAAGTCTAAGCACATAATAGACATTATGTTTCTGGTTGTTAAAGGAAATTTTAGAGTGATTATGTGTTTATAGAACATATTGGTACAAACTCATAATTGTGCGCTTACTAAGGAATTGTCACCTAAGATCTTTCATGAGTGCACTACTCATGTGGGTGTAATATCATTTAATGATATTCGGTTTTAATGAGAGTTTGTAATTTTAATGCTCATTTATTATATACACCATTTCAGTTACTTCAATTTAAGGATATTTATTTTAAAGTTATTTTCTGTAAAAATAAAGTTTGTTTTGGTTTATCCACACTCTGATTTTGATAAAATTTTATCTCACTAAAGTTTAAAGATGACCAGTTGAAAATATATATGTGTGGTTCACATTACATGTAATTTCCATGATACGCTCTATGATTTATCTATGTGATTTGATTTTGTTTGTATGTGTGACCTTTGATGGGTATAGTCATGATTAATATGACAAAGGCCTCTTTGATCCTGTATGGAATAATATAGTTGATGGATGAGATTGTTATAGAATACTAATTACATGATAACAAATTTTAAGCTCACAAGGTTATTCGTTTATTAGGAAACATATGTTGCCCAAGTGGAAGATTATTGGATTAAAATTCATAATTATGGGCACATATTTTTAATGTATATTGTTATCATAAAATATGACATAAATTAAGTGGTCAATTATATTATAAAGTCATAAGGTATTAGTGTCATGGAAATAAAAGTGTAGATAAATTAAAGTTGTATTTATAATTCGATGTGGGACAAAGTTATAAGTACAAACAATAATTGATTCTTAAATCAGCTATATAAAGGGGTTATGGTCCCCAAGAAATAAATTATCTCGTATTTACTCTTATCTCCGTCAGATAATTTATACTTAAGGGAATTCTATCTTCTTGGAAGATCACAACCAAAGAAATATCCAAAGATTTCAACATATTAATTAATTTAGGTACGCTTCCGCATCCAGTATTTTATTCTTGATAATTTGACATGATTAGATCTTGGGTTATTTCTATTCTCAATCTTATATCAATTATATTTTGGTTCTAATAGAATATGTATTAAAAACTTAGAAAATAAGAAAAATAAAATAAAATTAGAAGAGAAAAATAAATAGGATTATAGGGTAAAAATAAGAAATTCAAAAAGAACAGTAAAATTAGAAAAAATGAGCGGCGCAAACCTAACAAATTTAAAAAGGAACTTAAATTAAAAAAACGTAGAAGCTAAAAAAGGGGGGAAATTAAATGATTAAAAACGAGTTTAAAATCTTAAAAAAACCGAGTCTAAAAAGACAATTTAAATTAAGACTGAAATTGCGGGAAACGGACCAAAATGGATTTTTGAAAGAAAAAAATAGGGATATCAATTATAATTATTTTCCACTCGTATAAAATATAAAGATCCTATAAAAATTAGATAGGGTTATCAGATCATTTAATTAAATAAAAAATCTCAAAATTTTGAAAGATTAATTCATTTTCTTTTATTCAAATTTTGAACAAAAAATAAAATAAAAATAATGAAAGTATCTTCCCACTCAAGATTCACTATGTAACACCTTAGATTCAGCCTATGCGTTTGGACTAAGTCTAGCGAATTACATTAAAGATTCTCAAAGGCATTTTTCCAAAAATATTATTCGACAATTTAAAATCATATTATAAATGACATTTATAAAAGTATATAATAATTAACAGTAAAAACTCATTTCGTAAATATAAAATATGAAAGAGACCAAGTAAAATAAAACATGAAATAAATCCGGAACATCGAAAATCAAGTACCAGTAGCAAAAGCAATAAACATCATAAAACGATAAATACTTCAAAAATAAGGTACATGTCACCATAATTAAAAGCAGTTCGGAAGACAGAATATTACAACAAAATGATTTGAATTAAATGTACCAATCCTCCAAGTGTCTGATACAAAATGTATATCCGATAGTATCTGAAAGGAGGTAAAACAGTTTGAAAAGTGAGCTAGAGGTTCAGTGTGTCCCAACAGTGCAGAAATAAAAATATACATTTATGATTTGTAAAATCAGTACAGATCATAGTCATTAAAACATCATAGGATTTTTTTATTTAAAAACTCTACATCGTCCTCCAACCGAACGCCATGTGCAGATCCCCAGAAATGCACGACCTAAGGGAGTACCTTGGGGCATGCAAGCCTACCCAAGACAATTCTTGGGGCCACAAAGGCTTACCCAAGAAATGTAACATCCCAAATAACGGGTTAGTGACTAAATTGTAAAAAATTCAAAATTTGGTGATTAAAGTAGAATAATTGAATAGTTTAAAAATAATTGTTAGTAAATATGAAATGAATTAAAGGATAAAATGGTCATTTGCAAGGAAAAATAATAATTAAAATTTTGGATGGGGTTATATTATAACCCACGTGGGGCATGAGTAGGAAAAAAATGTTTCCAGATTTCTCTCATCTCTTCTTCCTTCTTTCTTATCTTCTTCACTCTTCTCTTCTTCCAAACGTGAAGACCCAAGCTTAAGGTAAGAATCTGAACCTTGGTCGTTTCTTTGATTTTTAGCTTGGAAATTGAAGTTTGGATGTTATATAAGCTAAAGGAAAGCTTATATGACATTAAGACAACAAGATAAGTGTTTTAGAGATAGATTTGGAAAATGGGTTTTTAGATGAAATTTTGATATGGATGAGTTTTTGAAGTTTGAATAAGATTTTTGACTTGTCAAGAAGTTAATTACGGAATATGGAGTGTTAGAATTGGATTTAAAACATGTTGAAAATTGGGTATGGTTTTTAGCTTTGAGAATTTGAATTAAGGAACCTTGTATGAGAAATTTAGTGAAGAGTTGATGATTTTCGGGTTTGAACAGTAAAATTTTAGATTATGCAGAGGGAACCGTCACCCCCTGGGGGGATCGATTCCCCCTAAAAGAAAAGGTTGAAGTTTGGTTTATTAAATTAGTCTAAGTTGTTAGTATCAAATTACAAGGGTTAGGCTTCTGATAACCATCTTGAAAATTATGTTTATGTAGATATAAAACGTAATTCTATTCCAGAATAATTGAAGAGTTAGGATTGAAACAACGAAAGCGAGGCCAAGGTGAGTGCCTATTATAAGTATAGTACAATAGAATAAGACTTATGATAAGTCTAATTCCTATGTTGAGTTTTATAGAACAATAGTTATGAACATGCATACATGATAATTATTATGATACATGCATAAGGTATATATGCTCATATGATTCGATAAATGATATATGTGAATAAATTCAAATGCACATGTGATATGATAAGTGACATGAGCACATGAACATATGAAATATAAGAATGATGCCCATAGTATACGATATGAGAGCTATAGGTATAGTTGGCATGCCAAGAGTCGAGGGTTTTATAGGTCCTTAGGGACAACTCATAGGTCCTTTGGGATATATTCACAGGTCCTTCGGGATAAATTTCATATGCCACTCAGTGGGACTTATACGAGTTGTGGTGACAGCAATAGTGCTCAACCTCAATGTACTCGAATACCTTGAGTTCTCATTAATGTACATGGGCTTATAGAATGTTATCAAAGGTAATTGCATTATTATTGTTGTATGTTACCATATTGAATTATATGTTATATCATTGAATGGATAGATCACATGTTCATATTCATAAGGAATGCATCATTATTATATTTATATGTCTCACTAAGTCTATGACTTAGCGTGTAAGTGATTTACATGTAGGTACAGAAAAGTAAGAAGATCGATCCTAAGAGCAGCAACGCAGCATACCATCATTAGAGGATCAAATCAGAAGTAAACAACAAAGTATGTATTTTAGTTGTATAAAGTGTGTTGGCATGTAATAAGTTGTTAGTTACGAACACTCTGATCGGCTTTTCTAATGTTTTGAATATAATTATGTAAATGTATAGTAATGAACGGTTGAATTTTTACGAATTTTATGTACATTTTACGGAAGTATTATAGCAGTACTGTAGCAGGGGAATCGTTCCCTGTAGCAGGGGAATCGATTCCCTATTTGTAAAATGGAAAATTTAACATTTTGGTACTGTAGCAGGTTACTGTTCACGGTACTGTAGCAGGTTACTGTTCATACGTATTTTAGTGTTCGCAAATATATTTTTACCTCAAAATTTTATACTGAATATAATTTAATAATATATTATCGTATTTTCCTAAAATAAGTTCAAATGTTTTGTTAATTTGTAAGGTAAAGTATTTTAAAAAGGTAATGTGACATTTCAGACTCGTATTCGAGTCGGGTACGGGTTGGGGGTGTTACAAGAAATCTCAGGGTCACGGAGCCTACCCAAGGCTCGACTTAGATCCATAAGGAATTATCAATCGGTGTTGAACCTATCCGAGAAATTACCAACATCGACTGAACCTGCCAGAGTCTTCATACCAGAACTCAGAGTACCCCTAAGAAAATATTTTTCAGACAATAACCAGTATTAACAGTAATTCAGAGTTCATGCAGATCATCAGTTCAGAAAACCAGTATCCAGAAATCATAAGTCAGCAATCATGCTTTACATTTCAGTAAATATAGAATCAGGTAAATCATACAGTAGTCAAATCAAATCAAACATTGTATTTCAAATCAGAGTAAACAATCATGTGCACATGAGATTTCAAACAGATATTTAAAATATTTATACTGCACATAAGGAGCACACCTCGCAAAACGGGTCAATCCGGAAGATCTATTGAGCACCAGCCTCACTACGCTCTTCTACTGTACGAAAACCTAAGTCATATAAGAACAAAATTATTATCAGAGTAGTACACTAAACTGAGTGTTTAACAAGGTTATAGAACTATACGAATAATCACGGGCTCTCGTAGACGAGCGGGTCGGGATGAACAACTTTGAGTTCAAGCTTCCAATATTTTCCTCACGGTCCAGACCATCAAAATTACTGACTTGTATCCAAATAATTTCCCTCGCCATAAAGATAGCTTATTAGAATTAAAATAATTATTTGGAAACCCAATTAGTATAATATAATACTTGTGGGGCTACTCTAATAATTAATCACTAAAATTAGGGACTGAACCGAATTAATTTGCACTATTGGGCCATAAACTAAAACTAATGGAAACTATGAGATAAGGCTAAGTTCTTACCAAACCTTGAGGACTCATGATGAGATTTTCAACTTTATTTTTTCAAGTCTCTACCCACGTGATTTTCTTGTTGGAATCATAACCCCATTTTCCCAACATTTCAATCTCATTTCTTTAAAATTTCATAAACATTCCACATCTTCACACTACATCTTCAAATCGTAGTTGTGAAGCTGTATTCCATTTTCGAGAATGAGAACTCGGAATTTCAATTGCAGCAGCTGCCACCTTGCGAAGAAGAACCATCTCGACCTCCAAATGGCCCTAGAATTTCACCGTAACCAACTTTTATGCCGTACGACTCATTGAACACATCAAAAACTCCATCCTGAATCTTTGTGTATATGGTTGCAGCAGTTTCTATAAATGTCTCCTCAACATTGTGACCAGTTTTGGCCGATACCTCCACGAAGATCAAACCATGCTCCTTGGCGAATATTTGATTCATAAAGTAAACAAAATTCGTTGAGTGCTGCGAGCAGAACATGATCCGGGCTTTCATGGATTTGTTGAAAGTTGAATTCATTGTAGAGAATCGAACAAGTTCTGAAAACGAGGAGAAGCACCGCGAGAAAAAGGAAATGGGGTTTATTTTTTTCTAGTCTTAGGTTGATGTACCTATGGTCGTTAATGGTGGTTTCGTAGGTGAAGAAAAGGTACATGGGTGGAGCTCACGTCGTTAGCCATTGGATTTCGACTGAGCTTCGTGGTGATTTGCATCGTCGGTGTTGGTGTAGCTCGACTAAGCTTGGTGGTTTCTGCAGGGAGTTGCTGCAGGGAGGTTAATCCAAGGCTATTGGGGGGTAGTCGGGTCGAGTTTACCATTTCTTTGGTTTGGTTCCCTGGTATGATTGAATTTAGGCCATTGCCAACATTTAGAGCGTTGGTCTCAGTAAGACCACAAAATGCGGGAGTTTCCAGCTTCAAATTGGATGAGAGATGGACCATTATAAATTCGTTTCAACTCCATGGTAGTACCATTGTCGAAGAATCTCAAACAAAGCATGTCTGAAACGTTGGGTGAGGAAAACGAAGGTCTCAACCCACACAAGAAGTCAAAACCCATTCCCAGAGACGATCCCAGTAAAGGAAACATTGGGATTAAAAGGGGTTTGAAAAGAAATTCCTGGAAATGTAGAACAACTGAGAGATGATGCTAAAGCACACGCTAATGTGAGATTCGAAGTTTCAGATATAAAGACCGTGGAAAGTGAAAACCCGGTAAAACAAAAGAAAGAAATAAATATTGAAGAACAGATGAGAGGAAAGTGGTCGAATCTGCCAAAAATGGGTAATCACCCGATATTTAAAAGTAAAACAAATCTTTACTGTTTCCAATCAGAAACAGTAACCTGGCCCGGTTGTTAAGGCATGGTCGGCCACTACATGGGATAAGGTTTCAAAACCCCATAACCACTCATTATTTAACTTTTAGTGATAGAGGATTTTTTGTCTATGGAAAATTGACAGGGCAGATCCCTAATCTTCCTATATATTTTGATATTAAAAAAACTATTAAAAATCTTATCCATTTGATCACTTAATTAAATAATTAAATTAAACAAATTTTTAAAGCAAAAATTTGGGGTGTGACACACTATCTATTTTTTTTCGACAAATCTCAAAAAAAATGTTAAATCTATAAAGATTCATTTAAAGCATTTTCTTTATTTATTGATTCTCTTTTAAACAGAGTTTTCGAACAAAACAAAAAATAAATTAAGAAAGAAAATAAAAATACTTATCTTTAAAAAGATTCTTTTTTATTCCTTGTATTATTCAGATTACAATGAATGCCTATCTTCTTTCTCTTCCCTCTTTCTTCTCCTAGTTTTCTCCTCTTTCTTTTTTGTTCCTAATGGAATAGAAAAAATCCCCGACTTTCTACATCCAGTGATCTAGACCATTTATATTAATGATATAAACGATACAACGTCTTCAATTCAATGATATTTGATGTAGTTTTTCCTATAATATGTTATATAACTTACTACTACTTTTCATAATACTAATATATAATTTATATACCAACATGGATCAATCTGTATCGGTTAATAATTTCACTGCCTATCGATCGAAATTATACACCTCTCCATATGTAAATATTAATACTTCATATTGTTGGTCTCCGCACTCTCGATGTGTGAACTATCCTGACGAGGCACTTCAACACCCTCTTTAAGAAATAAATTCCAGATTTAAAATTGAGTACAAACACTACAAAGATAATATCATTTATTAAGATTTCATAAACTACTTGACAAGCAGCACACAATATTAGAAATAATCATACTGAAATCCTATTATTTTTCAGGAGAAGCGGCGAATCTTTAACGGCGGCAATCACTGCTGTATACTGAACAATTGGGAGGTGCCTTTGTACTTGGATTCCTTGGAGGACCACAGGATTTGCCTGTGTAACGGCCGCAGGCGGCTTCATGAGGGTCTTGTGATCTCCTCGTTGGATGTTTACTGTCGGCGAAGCCCGATGCTGCACTTACTTCGTATACCATTTTTGCTTGCTCTGAATCCATCAACATCTCCACCGTCTCTATGTCCTTTGAAAGCTGCAGCTGCAGCTTCAGGCACTCCTCCTTTGAAAAACCATCGCACCACCGGCTTCCGGTGCTCTTGTTCTTCTTGACCGCATCGGCAGCACAGTATCGGCAGGTGCTCCACAGCATCACCATTATCATTAGCACCACCATTGCTGAACTTAAACCTCCCATGTTTCTCCTGCTAAAACTCTATTCATAAAATTTCACTACATTTGAAGTTCATATATAAAAAATTAATATAAAAAAAACTTTAGTAGAAGAAAACGAGTATACAATGGCCACAATTAATGAATGGCCAAGGAAATAGATAATTAAAAGAGAAAATAACCTCAGTGACCGAAAATACCTTATAATATACGATTTTAACCAATTTTTTTGGATTTGCCAAAATAACTAACAAAATCGCAACGCGAACTCTAATTTTTCAACTCAGTTTCCAAATTCGCAACGCGATTTTGCGATAGTCCAAGTTCGCGTTGCGATTTTCCAAATTTACGTTAGTCCAAATTCGTTGCGATAATCGAAGTTCGCGTTGCAATAGTTCAAGTATTTGTTGCGATTTTCTAAATTCGTTGCTGTAGATACTCGATTTGTCCGGGGTTATGTCGGAGCAGACCCAAAGCAATGGTAACCTAACCCGATCCCAAACCAGCTGGAGGCCCATCTCAAGCCCAATGGTTATCAGCAGTTGAAGAAGGAAAATCAAGATCGGTTTTTAACAGTTAACAACCAGATGGTGGGGGGTTAACAATGGGCTTAAAAAAGGGAGAGAACGGATAGAACATGGAGAAAAGGATTGTAATTTTCTTCGCAACTATTCGAGAGCAATAGAATACGGTATCCCAGTTTTATTTGGTTCACCATTTCTGATGAACAACACATCATTATCGTAAAAAATAAAAATAAAACACCAACAAGAATAATCAACAGAAAAAGAGACAGCAACCAATCGAAAAATCAAAGGATCTTCTTCCTCTTCATTTTTTCATGCAGAGCTACAATAGATTTCTTTTTCGTTTTCCTTTAAGCAAGGTAAGTATTAAAACTCGTTTTTGTATATGAGGTATTTCTTTATATAAAAAATCAGTGGAAATTTCTTGAGATATTCGATTTATTTTAAGTTCTAGTGTGGTTATGTGAGTGTTTTGAAATATAAGTAAAATAAGGGAGGAAGTAGGGTCGATTTGGTTTAGCTTTTACCTCTATAGTTGTCGTGAGTGTTGGATTAGGAGGGCTCGGGCTTCATCGAGGGTTGCGAAAGCGTGGTGGCCTGCCGAGCATCGCTGTGGGATCTTGGTGTACAGCCACCGTTCGTGAAGGGAGATAATCATAGAAGAGTAAGATGGCCATGGCAACCGTTCGGTCGAATGGAAGAGAAGTAGAGAGGAAAGAAAGAGGAAAAATGGCTGAGGGTTAGGTTTAGCATGAGTTTAGGATTAGTTTTAGTTTAAAGTAGGTTTTATGTTAGGTTATTAGGCTAATTACTTTGAGGTCACTGCGTAGCCGTTGATTTCCATTTTGGTCCTTTAGTCCTTGAAACATAGTTGTTTGAATTATTCTTTGTTTGTACATTTGCTATGCGGTTTTGTAAATCTACATTTTGGTCCAGCATGTAATTGTGGATTTATTTCCTAGTAGTCATGCATTTATTTGGTTAGTTCATTTTAACCCATGAATAGAGTGTCTTATATTATTTTTAATTTGATCTTCATAGTTTTATGCGTATTTAAGTTCAGTCCCAAATGTTGTGTCATTTAGTTCTTGTTATTTTAGGCATTTTGCTTTATGTTTTGCATGTTTCGTTTGAATCCCTAGGCTGAATTTTTCATGTTAGTAATTTTGTCCTTATTTTATGCGAATTTAATTTCAGTCCTATATATGTTTAGGTATTTATTTCAAATTTGATACATGGAATGTGGTGGTTTTATATGTTAGGACTTTATTTATGCTGAATTTGATTTTAACTTTAAAGTTTATGGCTCTTCGTTCAGTCCTTATGTTTGTTTGACATGGCATTTTTATTCATTTGTGTATTATCTAGGTATAGGTTTTCTTGAAATCATTCTGCACAATTTGTATGATCTCACGTGCATAACTCGACCTATTACATAATCGGACTAAGGGTAATACCCTTTAATTTTAAAATTGTGAGTGGCCTGTCTTAACTGATTAGAGGGCCGTTATGACCATTTTAAGTTAAAAGTGTATCCCGAAAAGTAAAACCAAAAATTGATTTGTTACCTAAATTTTGGAACGAAAGAAAAGGAAATGTTTTATTTAAATTTATCGAGAAAAGGTTGTTATAGCTTTTAAGATCTAATCTCGATATTGTAAAACAATCGAACATTTCTTTATCTTTCTAAAATGATTGGTAATTTTAATTTAATTCGTTTGAGTGTTCTTGATGTTTTAAATTTACATTTTTGTTTTATGGGATCAAAAATCAAATTAAGTTCGAATTTGTAAAGTTCATTGCAAAAAAGAATTAATCGATTAGGTACCGATTTAGGGCGTGTGGGGGTGCTAATCATTCCCCACACGTAACCGTTCCCGAACTCATTTTTGGTAAGCATACTCAATTATGTTTTAATTAAAATTAATTTTTATTTAAATGACAAAGCATTTTTGGGTGCCAAATCACACCCTAATCAAAGATTGGTGGCGACTCTTTGAACCGTATTTTTGATCGTAAAGGAAATTCAAAATTTTTCGAAACGAGAGGTCTTTAGATCGCATTTGTTTTTAAATTAAATGATAATTTAGAATTAATGTGGTTTCAAAATCTCACCTTTCAAGAAAATCGTTTCGACAGCTTGGCGACTCCGCTGGGGACATTTTTTTAGAGAGTCAGGCCAATAGTCGATTAATTATCTGTCTTTGCAATTGAAAGTTATAAATTTGTTTTATTTGGTTTTGATCACTTATTGGTTTAATATTTGTTTATAATATTAACCAATAAATAGTTGTACTGATATGTTGTTAATGGTTTCAGATTAATTGTGTATTTGGAATTGATTTTGAGTGTTTTTATTGTTTGTTTTTCGCTTTTCCTCACACATGCACAGTTACATTATCATAAATGAGCTAAAACCCGCTCAGTCCTGTTTAAGTAGGAGTGAGAGACTATGCCCTCGTGTGGTTTTCACCTCCGCGGGGATAGGGATCACTCCTGGAGCTCACGCCTTATGGTCCTCGTGATGGTAATCACCTCCGCATGGACATAAGGAGATGTGTTCCTCGAAATGAACTCGATCCCCTAAAGCTGTGATGGGCCAGGATGAGGGTTCGGTAGCCAAGGGGGCACCGACAAGGACAATTCGAGAACCTATTATTTAGAACCGAACCCAGCATATAGTGAACATAGAGCCCGAATTTAGGTCGAGCCTAACCCGAACCTTAAGAGTCCCGTGAGGAGGGTACACAAGGAAAAGCTTTTTGAGTCATTTAATTTTGCTTTTGAATAAATGTACTACGAACTAGAAATCATGCGGTTAGGTTTATTTTTCTAGAACAAACATGCGAATTAGATATCATGCGGTTAGGATTTTTTGTGAATGACAAAGTATGGGGTAGATATCATGTGGGTAGGATCAACTAAAGTATGATTGGGTAGCCATATATGAGGGTAGGTTTATTTGATTTATAGTACTTATTATTTTGTTGTTTATATTATGTGCACTAACCCATTTTTTTTATATGTCTATT